TTCAATGCCAATGTTTTGCCAAAGGCATTGACGTGCTGTGGCACGTTTTACATTTCTCACTTAAAAGACTTGAAATATAGCATGAGTCATATGGACTTTATAGTGTGATTGTATGAATGTACAGTAACTGAGATCTTCACCTGAACACTTATGTTTCTATGCATTTCTGTGACAGTCGAAGAGAAGAAAGAGACAGTGACAGAGGGAGAATCTATCACTCTACACGCTGGTCTTACTGGAACACAGGGAGATGTTACGATGAAGTGGTGCTATGAAACTGAAGACAATCTCATTGCTGAAATTAAAAGAGGGACCAAAAGGACACAGGAGGGTGGTGATGGGAGATTCAGGAGCAAACTGAGGCTGGATGACAAGACTGGAGATCTCACTATCAGTAACATCAGGACCATTCACTCTGGACTCTTTAAACTCAAGATCAGCAGCAGAGCCAGAAAAACCATCTACAAGAGATTCATTGTTACCGTCAATGGTAAGTACTAAGTCCTTGTGTGTAAAAGATCATGCAGTGAGTTTAGACTATCTAAAATTAACACTATCTCAAAGTGCTCAAATTGTAATTACTTTTAGATTTCAGTTACTTTTCATTGTAAGTAGTGCACAATTAGGAGATTAAAGTCATAATATTGCATGAATTAATTATAGGAACTTCAGTTTGAAAATAGTCTCAAAATATGATTTTAATTTGGTAAAATACTTATTATTATTCTGATACATTTACTACAACATTCCTACAACAGGTATATTAGTCTGGTTTTATGTTGATTTAAGAATGAAATGGCTGGCAAAATTCATTCAGACACTAATACTGAATTTCTCTGTTTCTGTGTGCTGCTGTGACATGAAGTGAAGTCATTGTCAGCGACGGCAGGAGGTTCTGTCACTCTCCAGACTAATGCTAAAATACAGAGCGATGACCTGATACTGTGGACGCTTGGAGCTGAAAACGTTCTCGTTGTTAAAAAAGATTCAGGAACAACTACTGTTAATGAGAGATTCAGAGGCAGACTTAGGTTGGGCAAGACGACTGCATCTCTGACCATCACAAACCTCACAAATACAGACTCTGGACATTTTAAACTGCAGATCATCAACACTAAAAAGACCACATTCAGGAGAATCAACGTGACTGTCACCGGTGAGTAGAACATCATTTATTATAATGACTATCTATATATACAACAGTTCTGTGTTTTGGAACTCTTGTGTCGTCCTTAAGATTGTGTAGCTGCAACATCATCTATAAGTAGATGTGTATTCTTTCTCTCTTTCTACTTTCCATGATTATCTCTGTATTTTCTTTCAGGTTCCACAGGAAACCAAGTGAGTGAATTAGAGACGGCAGTAATGCTGCTGTCGGACGATGTGGATGGAGTGAATGAGCAGGAAGAGACATGGTCACTTCAATGAAATAAGACATGCCCACCAGTGCGCCAACACTGTGACATCAACATTTGACCTCAACAAATTTCTGCTTTTATGAAAGTGAGAAACTTTTACTCTTAACACTCAGGATGCATGACACTTTCCCATGATCTGTAGTGCTGCAATTACCAACCACTGGTATTGGGAAAGTTTTTGATTCTCCAAAAACAGTGCACAGTTCTTAAAAGAACCTGTTTTTATTAATGTGAAGAATACTTTATAGGGGTCATATGATGCAATTTCAAGTTTTCCTTTCTCTTTGGAGT